ACACTGCTCTGTGAACACAAATTAGTTAGCAAAAATCAGTTAAGTGACGAAAAATTAGGTGTCTATTTACTTGTGACCAATCAGTGTATATCTCTATTCCGTCACATTGTCACACTAACCCCTGGACCACTCTAGGTTTATTTAGCAAAAGACAACGTCAATTCAAAATGCACGCAAAAAAGAAAAAAAAACAACATAAAAAGCAGGTGATTATATATTTACTATAATGGATAAATGGCGTGGCCGTCTATCTATCTATCTATATTTGTGACCGAAATAATAAATACAATGATGCCATCTGTTGTGTTGAAATACAACAAGATCTCAATGCCAGAAGTGGTGATTAAGGCTTATGAATTGTAGTGCCATCTACCGAATTTCACCACAAACAAAAAGCCATAAAAATTTCACACTTTGGGCATTCAAGATTCAGACAATTAGAAAAATAACTACGGTATGAGCAACAACCATATCTTTATAACAGAACACAATTTTAATAAAAGTACTTCCTTATCAACAAGAACATGACTTTTACTAGGACTGTACGTGAGGGTTTGATTATATCTTTATTGATGCAATGTTTAAATGTAGTACTAAAAACTGGAGTTCTTAAAAACAAAAAAAGAAACAATTATTTTTTCAATAAAGGTAGCTCTTTAAGATATAAAAGCATTACAGTTTATATCGATAAAACTATGAAATTTTTGAGATTTGTACATTGAATCATTTTGATGCAATGAGCTGCGTATGAATATAAAGCACAATCCGAACACTCTTCTCGTGCAATACTTCCCAGAAACAAATGATTTTAGAAAATGTTCACTTTTTTTACAGTTTTTCACAAAACGTATGGATATTACGATTACTAATTAATAACACAAACAACCGCCCAATTCTACTCGTAGAGAAAAATCAGTAAAAGCATATATTTTACACCTATATTTCCGGTAATAAAAACAACAATCAAAAATTTCTCTATTTTTTTCTTTAGAATAATTAAGCTGTGAATTATTGATAAACGTTTATTGATCTAAATGAATATTGGAATAACCGCAAATAAGATTTAGTTATTTTTATCTTAAGATAACACTATTAAGCTTATTCTATTTTCAGAACTAAATTTTTATTCCGTCCCTTAGGGATTTTCCGAGAAGTAGAAAGTATGATAGTATTTTGACGACATATATTCGCAGTATCCAGTGGAGATGACGTGTTATGCTTAATGCCAAACCCATGACTACCAAAGATCATATTTGTCATAAGACAACAGTGTTATAGCGTTCACCGCAACAACAACTGTTATTCTGACAAAGGTTTACATAAATATTATTTCGACCAGAACTATATTTGTTGTATTCCAGCTGGTCTAATGAGTTCTGGTATTGAGCAAAACGCGTCGTCGGTAATGCATATGACAGTAATTTAAATAGTATATTATGCACTCTTCTTCTCAAAACACCCCTAAGGGGCCGAATATAAAATATATTGTTCATAAAATAGAATAAGACTAATACTGTTGATTATAATCACGCTTAGCCACATTAAAAAGTTTACACCAAAACAAAAGGAACTATTTTTACAATATTTTTATTTCTTGATTGAATTTATTTTATAATTAGAATTATCTTATTTCATAATATAAATGTATATAGCATTTATCTGTTGTTTATTTAATTAATATGTTCCAATTAGTCCTTCGGTGACTCAACGGTAAGTCTGAGAGCTTATAATGCTGAAAATCGCGATGGGCAGAGCATAGATAGCCTATTGTGTAGCTTTGCGCTTAACAACAAACACACACGTTCCATTTATATTAACAAATCTGGATTATTGTTTTAATATTTCCTACACATCTTATACACTGTTGTTTCATTCCGTATGTGAAAGATTCAATAAACCAGAAATAAAAATATGTTGTTGAACACCAATGTATTATGTTTATATATATATATGTGTGTGATATTTTTAGCTGTCTTTTACACCACAGTGAATCTATATTTATACGATTTGAATAATTCGTACTATTTCTACTAATTTAGTTTTCTGAATTATTCAGCAGAAAGGTTGCTTAAAATACTAAAATTAAATATGAAGCCTATTCTATCATTCGATTCACCATTCGTCGCTGAGTTATTCAGGTTTCCAAAAGTTCCATCTGTCTTGAGTAATCCTGGAGGTTAAATAGAAAGTACAAGACTAGGCCTTTTTTTATATATAAACCTTTTGTATAGTGTTATTTTAAACAGCAAAAACAAAACCGAGTGTATAAAACTTTAACAAATATCTTAAACTAGGCTATGCACGTTATGTAACACATAACACAAAGAATAAGTTTAGGTACGATATATGTGATCTTTAACCTGAAACATAAGATAAAGAGTGGGTTTAGGTACGTTATGTGATACTTGATTTGAAAACTAACAAAAAGAGTAGTTTTTACGTTATGTGATCTTTAGTTTGAAACATAAGACAAAGAAAAGATGCCGTTAATGGAAGCTAGTATATACCTATATCTAGGTACAATATAATTATAATCACACCCCTTTGTGGCAGTTAAATACGTCACAATATACGAAACTCTGGCGACTACAAATCTGAAACCCAAATTGAACCCTAATTAATCATCGATATAAATTCTTTTAACAATTATAGTGAAAACTAGTAAGAAAGTTATGAATCAAATAAAAATGGTTTTATTACCCATTATATATAGATACAATAAAAGCAAATGTAGAAATTAAAGTAATGTAATCTCTGTAGATAACAGATTCTGTAGATTAAAAACAATTATAATAACTTCCGAAGTGATTCTAATTTATATTTCAATATGAACGATCGAGTTCAGAATCGGCATGGAAACCTTATATTTTTTTACAAAAGATGTCGCTGTATGTATAACAGATGTTTGCAATTTCAGTGAAACTTTTAAATTTCTATTCCTTAATTAAACATTTCTAGGAGTCAGTTTCCATTTTCTAACAGGTTTAGCTTTATGCAATTCCCTGAAAATAATGTCCCACTTTATAAATCAGATTTGTTAATGTTCAGACATACATACATATATATATTTATAAATCGGATTTGTTAATGTTCAAACATACATACATATATATATTTATAAATCGGATTTGTTAATGTTCAGACATACATACATATATATATTTATAAATCAGAT